CCAAGAGCTTTGGTTAGTTTGCAGGGCCTTACTTATTTGATTCTCATCACTAAGCTGCTTTTGTACTTCTTTCAATCTATAAATTATAAAATTTATACAAACAAAAAAATTAATATATAATTATTTTATAAACTCACTTGGTAGCATTCTGTGCTAATTTACGTTCAAGCGCCTGCTTTTCCTTAGTTAAGGTGTTTACTTTTTGTTCAAATTCATTCAACTTCTTTTTTTGGTATTCTGCACTCATTTCGGTACTTTTCCACCGCGTTTCAACTTCTAATAAACGCTCTTCAAAGTATTTACGTTGTGTTTCTAATTGTGAGGTTAGTAGATAGGAAAATTCAAGTTGCATTGAATCAATTTTCTCCTCGCCTTCATCATCCGGTGATTGTGTCGCTACAAGTTTCCCATCTGATTTGTTTTGCATAACGCGGTGTACAAAATTGTCTCCTGCATAATCCCAAACACTCGAGCTGCCTAATTGCATAGCAAAAGCATGATTGGTTGCACGATAATGTGCTGCAGCATGTCCACCTTGATAGCGCCCACAACCCACATGACCACAAATTAAACAAATCCATAATGAATCTGTGCCTTCACATTCCATACAAACTGAATCTTCCAAACTTTGTGGCGTCTGTACGTGACGACAAACTGGGCAAGTCGAATCACCCCATTTAATCAAACAACCAGCATGGAATGCATGATTGCAAAGGATAGTAAGTACGCCATCAACACTTTCATCCATACGTTCCAAGCAAACTAAAATAAGAATAAAAAAAATTATTTCTTTATATTAGTAAAATTCTTATATTAATAATCTCTAACGAACATTTCAGAACTAATTTCTGTCACAAATCCCTTAAGTATTACTGTAATCCGCCCTTCTTTATATAAAAAAGTATACAATTTAGATTTCTATTACTATGAGGTAAGATATAAATGTTTAAGAAGTTGGGTAAATTGATATCACCGAGAGTTTCACTAATAATTGTTCACGTATTGACTAACTTATAGGCTTCCAAATAAAATATATTCTTTCAAAAAAGAAAGTTTACTCAAGCAAAGGATATTATTCTTAGAATTTGTAAAGTAATTATTTATTTATAACGTATATTGGAAGTTCATAATACTATATATCTTACAAAGACTTCGACTTGGATTTTCTAAATCATAATTGTGCTTCTGTTTCTTTCATAATAATAGTTTATTGCTCGCCCATTGAAGTTCTATTGTTGTTACATCGGACAATAGATCTTCTGAGTTGTGCTACATGTTTGTAGAATAAAACTATATACATATGATATATAACAATAAGGCATTCTCTAGTTGGACCTACTACTCGCTAAGTTGCTGTAAACTACATAACGTTAAAATAATTAAAAAAAAGAAAAAAAAGATGACAATGTTATCATAACACAAAAAACTTAACTTGCTTATTTCATGCAATTTCTCACCTGGACACGTTGGAAGTTCTGTGTGCCCTAACGGTGGTAAGCCATCATCACCACGTTCAACCGATGATACCCAAACAGCATGACAAACTGAATCTGGTTCCAAAGAATTATAAGGTGCACCATTGAAAGTTTGATAAAAGTCTAAAGCAGATTCATTGGAACGAAATCTGTTAAGAGCAATAAATAAATTTTATATTAATTTTTATTTGTATATGATTAAACTTACTCTAGTAAAACCATAAATTGATTTGGACTGGCATCACGTATAATACGCACGTGTTGAATTTTACTGTGACACGGTGCAATAAAACTTAACAAATCATGGCAAGTTAAAATTGTGGGAACAGCCAAAAGACAAAGTTGATTGGAAGGCGCCTCTTTGATTTCTTTACGCTCACTAATTGAATAAAGTTAATACATTAGTATTTACATAAAAATTAAAAAAATTAGCACGTACTTTTTCTTATAGAGATGTATAATACCATTTGTTACTTCCACACTGGGATTACCAGAAAAATATGCGATCTCTTTCGGAAATTCTGTTGGATTTTGTCCTTCCTCCAATGGTGTGGTTTCACGCGAAGTAGATGTAGGAACTTCATGTCTACGTCGCATAGCACTTATATCTTTTTCTGACTCCAATATAATAAACTGATTTGTAAAGGTTTCAATTATTATTTCACTTGGCTTCCGTAAGCCGTGATCACGTTCACGTTCTTTTAATAGTCTTGGATTAGTTGGATGCTCTGCAGATACTGCTCCTAAAATCGATATGAACAATATTAATTATTCAATAGCAAAAAAAAACACTTTTCCTTTGTTTTACCGTAATCAGAATTTACAGTTGAATCGATTTCGATTTTAATAATACAAATTGAAATTTTGTTTGGCATTTGTTTATTTTATAGTGTGCATCAAATTTTTATTTTAATATATATTTCATAACTAAACTTCACAAATTTCAAAAATAATTTACTCAATGCTGCGAAAATAGTATCGCTTTGTGTCGCAGTTAAAAAAATGAATGCAATTCTTTCTACCAAACAAATGTCAACTCAAGTCAATGCACTGTCATCCATATTTTATTTATGTGCATAACTTGCCAACTAATTTTTTTAGTACAACAAAATTTGTACTAAAAATAATCATTTTAAAATTACAAAATTAATAAAGGATATTAAATTTTCCAGAATAATCTTTAAACAACGTGTTACAATAATTTTATTTAAAATATGAATAAAACTTTTACAATAAAAATATTATGATCAAACTTGTTTAATTGCAGCAAAATGTGTTTTCTTAACCTATGTACAGTACGCATACAAAGAGCGAATTATTGTATTATGACAGTACGAATTGTTTTCAGTTAAAATTTAGTAAAAATAAAAATTTACAAAGCACAAAAACACTTTCAAAAACGAAGTAATAATAAAGTAATAATTAATATTAAAGTATAAGTAGGAAAATAATATCTTTTCTTTTGTGTAACTCTTGGAAGTTATATATTAATTTATATAACTTAATTTTATAATTTAATTTATGTATATTTATTTATATGAAAAAAGTAGTTCTCTTTATTATATTATATTATTAATTCTCTTTATTATATTAAACTCAATTGTTTACTGCGTTTTATTTGTAGAGTACATACATATATGCAGAGTATATGTACAGAACAAATATATACTATAAATATAAACTATAATTATACACTATAAATCTGTCGAATACTAGTAAATTGAATTCTTCAAATATCTAAATAATTTCAACCTTCCTTTATCTTGACTTATTGTAGAACTTGTGGCTTTTTATTGGGTTCTTAGACGATATGAATATAAATCATAGATATAGATTGTAACACGTAGTCTTATATAAAAATCAATATTAGTAATTTTTTACTTACCCTTTTTGCTTAGAAAATCTCGCCCAAATTCATGGAAAGCTGAATCAGGAAACTTATAAAAACGTTTCTATGTCATATAAGAAAACAATTTGGGTATAATATATGAGATATTTAAAAGTGCTTTATATAAAAATGTGGGATATAGTATTAAGCATGAAAGCATAGGACACTAAAAAAAGATTGATCAAACAATCAAATATGTTTCGGCAGACATAATTGCCAATATTCACCGTTAAGTCTTCTGATACTTCTTGTATAACTTACAACTATTTTTTTGTTAATTTCTTTCACTTTAATTCTTTTAAAAATAAATCAATTAAAAAATACATAGTAAACCTAAATATTGGAATGTTTGGTAATAAAATTTGCATACTAATAACGCTATCTTTTCTAAATCCAACGAGAAGTAAATATTTTATTGTAGTTTTTCTGCTGTAATAAACTAAAGATGCTACGTCTTCCTAAACCCTAATTAATTTATAACAACTTCCTTTTAAATTCGACTAACACCGCGTAAATATGCTTTTAACGACTTATAAATAGCACTTTTCGCCGATATACATATGTAATACGTATTAGAAGAACTTAAATATGTACAAATTCTTTTCATCTGTTACCTTACCAATCTTCTATAATTTTTTTTGAAGTACTAGGTTTCGCTGTGTCACTTGAATATATGCCTACACGTTGTCGAAATCTAAAGAGTGAATATCTTGATACCTAATATATCAGACATATTAAACATATTAAAAAATTATATTAAAAAATTGAAAAAGGATATCAGCATTCCTTAACTAATACGAAATCTGTTATCTATTAAGAAATACTTCTTAACAATATTTTTTCGCTACAAGCAAAAGCCAGTACTCTGGTTTTTTTTTCTATCAGTTTGTCGTGTCTGAAAACGTTACTGCACCACTCTATGAAAAAAACTAACATAAACCGTAAATTATTGGCAGGGACTCATTCTAAACATTCTTTTGTCAAGTATTTGAAAAATTCAACTCTTACTATATATTGACAATACTAGAACGCGTTACTTGTTCACTAGAACTTACCCTTGATTGATTGATCATTGAATGTTGACATGAAGCCAAAGTTATGATTACATTGAAGGTCCGAGTAAATTCAAATAAAGTAAATGGATTTTTTGTACTGCACTTATGTAAATATTTATTTATTTATTTATTGCACTTATTTATTATTTTTCTGTTAAAAGTTTACAAATTTATTTATTTATTTTTTAAACATCTTGTAAAATTTTCATAATAATTTTCATAGTAATTCCTAATTTTACTTATTTTTATCTAATTTACCCTACTTGAAATTCTGGTTAATGCCAATATTAGCTGTCATACCGACATAATTTACGTACACAGCCTTAGTTCTACATTGAATGCTATCTCTTTAATAAAATTTGCGAGCCGTTACATGATAATGGAGATCTAAAATGAGCTTAGCTTCTAGCTTGTTTAAAATTAACTAAGCATTTATTATATTTTTTGCTTCTTATTTCTTGGACTAAACCGTATATTATTAACTCATTTTATGAAGTATATTCGTATATATTATTTCGTTTATTATTACATCATGTAATTACTATTGTATCTAATTTCATAATCTACATAAAAATACAAATACAATTCTTTTCATTTTAAATTCCAACGCTAAACCAAAATTAAACAATTCATTCAACTTGCATTTTAAAAATGCTTTCAAAAGAATAACAAAAACAGTAAGAGCAACTTTTTCACCACTACCATTCAGCTTTTCACCATGCTCCTTTTCGCTTATGAGAGCCAAAAGTTGTTACCACAATAACAACAAAACACGTCCGTAGCATTCGCATAACGGGAGCAAAACCATCTTTTGTTTTTTAGTCAATGGCTGATGTTATTACTGTACGCTTAAAGACGGTGCTGTGCGCGGCTTTTGATTCAATGTGTAATAAAATTCACTAATTAATACGTATAATATAGTAATTTAATTATTATATAAATAATAAACAAATATCGAAATTCATAAAACGTGGTGATTAATAAAAAGTATGTTAATTAAAATTAAATCAATTTCGAAAGTAAGTTAACATATCGAGCAACACACATTATTGTGATTGTAAAACAACGTAATAATTTGTTGTTGTTGTTGTTATTATTATACTTGGCCTAAGGCAAGGTGTATTTAATATGTACGTTGACTGAAATAGGTTACATACATAGTGCGAAAAATCAATTTACAGCTTTAAATTTTTATTTAAACATATTACTAAAAATAACATATGATATTTGAATAAAAATCAAATAACTGGAATAACATTTCAAACTCATATATGATCTACGAGTATAACTAAATTTGGTTTAGGGTATGTAACCGCTTGTGTATATTTGTTCGTGTTAAGCCAAAATAACATAATAACATTGGTGTGATAATCACTCTTAGCCGCCCTTTTGACAAAATCAACCCCAATCGCATGTACGCAGTGCCGTTGGGGCAATCCTTATGTTTGTTTATGCACATATACCCGTACGCGTGTACGTGTATGAGTGAATGGCGCGTACACTAAACAACATGTAAGTTAAACCCCAACAAGTTAACACATACAAAGGCTCACCAGTAAACAAATAAACAACAAGCAAGTTAACAAAATAACTGTTATGACGTTTATTTTCATTTTGTGCCTTTTTTGGCGTCTGCTTGTGGTTTGAGCAACGACAATGCCGCTCATTTACACTAACGTTTATTCATTTGTCTTTTGTTGGCGTTGTGTGTAGTTACTTTACGTACACTAAGTGTGTGTGTGTTTGCTCGCTTTTTGACTTTTTGCTCTTTTCATAGTAAATTTGCATCACCTCAATATAACAACAATGCAACAGTACACTACGTAGCATAGAAGCTCAAACAGCAGCAGCAGTAGCAGCAGCAATAACAACAACAAGAAAAAGAACACCAACAACAGTGACAAAAATAAACTCAAAGTTGTCTCTCTTTATTTTTCTATCCGCCCACTACCCACTACTTCCTTTCCGTTTACCTATTATCATGCGTGAGTATGCACTTTCACTTTCTATTAAAACCTGTTAACAGCGCATATGAAGACTACAACAAAAGTGCTGCAGGCAAAAGTGCATTGCAAATAAAATTTCCAACAACAATAACAAAAGCAACAACGACAATAATAACAACAACAACACAGTCTTGCGCCACTTAACTTGGGCAAGTGGTAAAGTTGCTTTGCTTGCTTGCTGCTGACTTGCTGTATATGCAAATGCACTTCACTATTTACTGTTGCTATCATTGTTGGTACTGTTGCTATATGGTATGTGTTTGCATAGTGCGGTGAAGGGTTGGCATATCTTAGCTGGCGTAGGCTTTTTATTATTCTATTTTGCTTTATTCTATTCTCTGTTTAGTTTTGCTGAATTTAGTTTGATTTGGTTCACGTTTGGTGTTTGTTTATTGCACATTAACTGGTTGAGTTGCTTTCGCTTTTTTCTTGCTTTTGTGTGAGTGTTTTTGTTTATATTACTACAAATGCCGTTTATTTTGCTGCCATTACTTGATTAGGATTTGCACAGCGTAATAACAAAACAAGTTTACACAGCAGTAATAATAAATAAATGTTAAATAATCAGTGCACCGTGGAATAAAATTGTAATTCATGTGCTTTAAATTTCCGAAAATTATGTCATTCAATTAAAATCGTTTAAAATCGAAGTTTTTATGTTGATTAATTATTTCTAATGAACTGTTTGTTATACACTTAATTGAACTAACAGCTTGAAGTTAATAGGTGTAGTCATCTAAGTATATAAATTTATCAAATGTATAATTTCATGCGTTTACGTACACAGGAATATGAACGCACTTTTACTAAGTTCAGACAGTCAAATTTTCTTAATTTCGTAAAAATAAAATTAAGTCAATTTCAAAAATATTCATAAAGCCTCAAATTAAGGAAATTATATGTGTTTTGTTAACAAATCGATTGTTAAAAATTACACGCTCCAAACACCATTTGTATCTGGGAAACTTTGAAAGTTGTTATTATAACTGTAAAGGATGACATTTAGTAGTTTTATTAGTTTTAGTGGATTTCAGGTATGTGAATTATTATTTTTCACACTATTTTAAATTGATAACAGTTACAGTACTTTCTCTCTATTCAAATTTAAAAATATTCACTACTTTCAAAATATTTCCCAGTTTTATTAAAATGAACTGTCATTGACATTTACGATTATATGAACGCACTAAGTGAAATATTTGTGTAAATTTATTAATGTGCTGTATAATAACACTATTAATATCAACAATAATTAAGACAGCACAAAATGCAATGCGCAGCAGCGCAATTTTTCAGCCAACATCGATGCAATTTTAAATATTTGTGAAAACTTTATTGATCAGCTGTGTCGCTATCAATAAATTATAAAATAAAATACCTAAATTGAGGGAAAAATTTAAACTAAACAGTATTTACAAGAATACTTTTGTGTAAACTATTTTTCATATAAAATTTGACACTTCATTTTTGTGTTCTAGTTTATATTCTGAGCTTTACAAAATGATTCTAAAAATTCCAAATTTATTAATGAAGAAATATGAAATATGCATAATATATTCCTAAGTTTTTATAGATGTTTGCATTTGTTAAATATCAAGGTACATCCATGATTCATTTAAATTTTTAATTAGGATTAAACTGATGTGATATGATATGGTGAGATAATTTAGTAAATGACGAACAGTGACATCGAAAAGACTTTGGGTCATCTATACCCTGTAACTCGCATAGCTTTTAAAAGGATATGTTTTACATTTGACAACAAATCTTATTAAAAACAGAAACTTAAATTTCTATACTTTTGAGTGAAATCTTCGCAAAATTTCAATGCTTGATAAGCTCACCTTACCAACAAATTAAAGTAAATAGGTTTAAAATTTGTTTAAATAGGACTTACAGATGATTAAACAATTCTGATTTATAGTACTTTAAACTGAATTTGAACTTTTTTCACTTACCTGCGTGATTTCTTATGGACGCCAATTAGATTTATGTGTTATTATGATCAATGATACAGATTTCACGAGAGTTAAAAAACCTTTATAAAAGTTATAGATATATGAAAGTAGAATCTTGTCATGTTTTATAAGTCAGGGATTTTTTCTACTCGATTGATTAACTATCAAATCTAACAATGGTGTTGTAGAGTATTACTAAAAGTAAGGTTTAAGTACGTTTGGATACAGTCTCCTTCTTGGGAGTGAGTGAGGCCTATTTAATATCTTAGCTGTTCTTCACGTTACAACTAATGTATGGACAATACAGCTCCACATCAAATAACCTCTACTGATAATAGTATATTAATAGTATGGTATACCTCTACATTACCTCGATTGGTCAGGACATACGAAACAGTGGGCTTTGACCCTTACGGTACCAGATGTACACCTCCGGTCGAGTCCACAAGTGGCTCACTACCATTTATACTACAAACAGTAACGGGTAAAACCTGCTACTTTAAGAAACTGCCCAATATAAGGTTTTTATTATCAGTTTGAAATTTAACAGCCCAAAATACTTTTTCTTTGTTAACTACTGCTTCATGAGCTGGGGTATGTCTAACCTTTTAGCTTAATTATCTATAACAGAATACTCTGCCATATGAAGACTATAAGACAAGTACGATTATACTAACCAGAGAAATAATTATCTGCAACACAGTGACTTGTTAGTAAAGGCACAACAAGATCAATTTGAAGATAACCTGACTAATTTTAGGAAAATCACTTTTTGTAAAAGACGTATAAATTATTGATTTCTGTAATTAAAGCATTAAAAATGAAAAAATCTGGCAAATAGAATGCATATAACCAAAAAATTATTTATTTTCCAAAAAAATTAATTTGCAGAAAATTAATTTACTTAATACTCTCTAAGAATATTAGAGTGAATCTTAACCTCTACTCGTAATAAAGTTTTTTCTCAAATCTATTAATTTTAGCTTAAAAAAAAATTTTATTGTTCTACTGTAATATCTAATTAAAAGTCACAATCATATTTTTTCTTTTAGCCAAATTAAAAATAAAATATTTTTTACAAATTAAAATATCACAAATAAAAAAATAAAAATTTTATCTGTGCTGTAAATGACGCCACGCTATCGTCTTTGTTGTTAACATTCCACCACTGCAATTGTTTGAGTGACGAAGATGACATCCAACTGGTTTTCGAACAGCATAAAAGTGGCAACAGCTTCAGCAGAACCCAATCGGAATTCATTAAGCAAAGGCAAAAAGCCACAAATCCACTGCCAACAATGAAAAAATTACAATAAAAAATCCACAAAAACAGTCGAAGCTGAAGCAGATACTTTTTTAAAAGCACAAACTAAAGATACAATAAAAGTCAGTCAGTAAGTCAACGAGCGTACAAAATAGAAAAGGGGCCAATATTGTACGTGGTCAAGAGCATGGAAGTTAAATAACGGTAGCAATAATTGCAAAATATATAACAAGAGGTAAAAGGGAAGGAGAAACCAAAACATAAAAGCCAATAATTACATACAAAACATCAATAACCACAAAAAAAGCGAACAATCGAACAAATCTCCAAATACTGCAGCACTAACAACAATAATAATATCTATAACAACAACAACAACATCAACAACATTGGAAAAAGTATAAGTTTTAGTACCCATTACGGTTCCACTTCTACAACACCACTTAAACCTTAAACCTTACAATGTCAGTGGTTAAAAAACTCTCAAAAACGTTTCGCTGGTTACGTTGGTCTACAGTGTGTGCAATATTATTTTATATGTTTTTCATCGGCTTAATACTGCATAGCACCACCTACAAACTACAAAGCACGCTCAGGTCGCAACGTCAGACCGACCAACTTAAACAACAAGACCATAACCACCATCAGCAACTGCAACAACTGCATCAGGAAGCAGAAAAATCCAGTTCAGTTTTAAATGGTAACAATGTATTGCATGCGCCACCAGAAACATCGCATGCCGGAACTCTGCGCTACAAGAACAACAAAAGTCCCCAGGACACGAGAAGGGTGGCAGCTGTATTACATGGTGGTCGACGCCAACAGAGCAAGTCAAGCGAACCGGAAACTGTTATTTTAGCTGCGAGTTCAGGGGATGAGAAGCACATTTTACGTAAAGCTTTCAAGAGGTGAGTAAGAGTTTAGTTGGTTCTTCATAGGTTGTGTGTATGAAAATAGATTTTTATAATTTTGGTGGGAAAGCAAGACGACATAAAATTTTTAGAAATTTTTTTTCTATTTTTAGAAATTATTTTCTATAATATTTTCTAAATATTTTTTAAAATATATATATATCTATATAAAACTGACTTATTGGTCAATAAATATAAAATATATATATTTATATCTATATAAAACAGACTTATTGATCAAAGTTGAAAAACAAACAACTTTTTAAATTAATTTTAAAAAATATATTTTATTTGCTTCGATATTTTGATTATAGTCTATAGTCTTCTTCGGGGATATAGAATAAATTTAAATTTGAAAAGTGTTAAAAAATAACTTTCATCAATGATACCAAATAGGCTTTTTTGATACCAGACGCTTTTTATTTTATTTTCTTATAGATTAAAAATATTTGTCTAAAATTCTTAGTCTGTATATATTTTATAAAGTCAGAAGAGAACACCCCAGTTTTCATTGTTTAATGCTCCTAATAGTTCTTTTTTAATAAGAGTGAATATTCTGTAGTTTATATCACATTTATTTTATAAGTTGATGAAACCTAATAAAGTGAATTATGTCTTCAGGCTGTTTATAATTATAGATGCATATAACATGCTTGTAAGTCTATGTTTAATTGACTTATAAATTAAAAGTCTATAATTTAATCCAAGCAATTTATACTGAATGTTAAAACAAATATCTTTTTATGTGTTTATGAATGAGGGGAAGTTTAAATGACTTTAAATAATCAAAACACATTCGATTTTTTTCATCACTAAGATAATTATTATAACTTGTATCCTATATTTGAAAAGATCCAAGACAAGTTGAGAATTTTGTTGTGTTTTTTAATATTTTTAACCAATTTTCAGTATTGACTTTTTAGACTAAAAATTAGTTAAAAGTCAAAAAAAAAACATTTTGTGAATCCAATATAAAAATAAAATATTCAATGTATATGTAAATCAAATAATGGTGACTACCTCTAAATATTACATATATATATTTCTAACTATTAGTCAAATAATAACTCACAAGCTAAGTCAAGCTCGACATGGCCCACATACTTTAGATCTAGCAATACAAACTTGATCTACAAAATAATATCTTAAAATAATGTCGTTTCTTACAAGATACTGATATATACTGCGCTATGGAGTTAGACTGACCCTACCACTTTGTACCTACTTTCGGTCATGTACGCTGATGTCCGGAAAAAAACACTTGTTCACCTATTATGACACTGATCAGACTTATCTAGATATAAATTCTAGCATATGAGTACGTTATTCTTTAATTCAGTGTACATCATCTAGATCCTAAAAATAAGTTAAATAAGCAAACAAAATTTAAATAAATTTGAATAAAGTTATTTCTTAATTTAAATTTGCCTATCTGAGTTCTTGGATTAGATCGAAAAAACTGTATCTTTAATACTATTTATTTACATATGTACTTAAAAAATTAATATTTATTATTTTTGTTATTATTATAATATTTTTTGTTTTGTAAACTTGATTTCTGATTAATTCTAATTTCACTAATTAAAAGGGTGAAATTAATTAGATTATTATTAAAATCATTAGAAAAAAAATTCAGTAGTCTTTACATAATTCTAGAAAATTATCTATCGAACTTTTATATCTTAAAACTTACACTAAGTTTATGAGAAACCATATTTTAATTATAAATACTTATATATTTTCAAAGTTCCTATTTATATTTAATTATTTCTGAATTTAGAAAGTTCAGCGAACTATTCTGCTCGATATAGAATATTACACAATTTAAACGTATAATAAACTGAATTATTTAGTAATAATTCATTTTTAAAAATCCTTAATTTTCCCTGCTTTTGGTTCAAAGTTTTCATTACAGTCAAATTTTCCTGAAATTTTCTAATTCTAAAGATTAGTATAAGTAGTCATTAATAATATTTTCTCATAAATGATAATACAATACTTGAAAGCCAAAGAAGTATTCTAAATTGCTCTTCGACTTCATCATCAATAAAATTAACTTCAGAAGGCCACAATAGCTACATAGTATAATTTTTTTCAGCAATTAATTTTCTAAAAATTAATTTATCATTAAATCTAATATAATGAAATATATAAATACACTATAATTTACATTCACATATATGATTGTCTTGTAGAGCTGACTTAAATCACAATTCTGAATTAACAATACAAGAATTGGCTTTGCACATAAACAAAAAAATTATTGAACATATTGAAGAGGCCATACAATTGAATCCAAGAGAGTTTCAACGTGTCGATATTTCACCACCTGACGGTGTAGTCACTTGGGATGAATATCATCGGTTCTTTTTAAAAGAACATGGTATGACCGATGCTGACATAGATGAACACAATGAAATTAGACATACAACTTTAAATCGCAAGGCAAGGGAGGATATGATGCGTGATAAAGCACGTTGGTCTGAAGCGGCACGTACAGATCTTTTTAGTTTAACCATAGATGAATATTTATCATTTCGGCATCCAGAATCGAGTATATCAAATTTATTAGAATTAGTTGATGATCTGTTGAGACAATTTGATCAAGGTAAAATATTCGGTAAATATTATCTATATTAACAATAATAATTATTAATTATGTTTTCAGACGGTGATGACCAGTTATCAATTGAAGAATTTTCTGAAGTCAATATGGATGATGATGACGACCTGATACGTAAATCATTAATATCGAAGACAGTTGTAGAAAGACGTGAGGAATTTAAACGTATAATAGATAAAAATAATGATGGTAAGGCAGATCGTGGTGAACTACTAAATTACGTTAATCCAAAAACCCCGAGATATGCATTACAAGAAGCTGCTACACTCTTTGCATTGTGCGATGAAAATAAGGATGGTAAATTAACATTGGATGAGGTGAACATACTATTTTAAAGGACATATAAATATTTATATAAATATTATATTGATATAATATTTTTTATTACAGATCACTGCAAATGCGGAAATATTTCTTACATCAAAAATGATTGACACTGCCAATAGTTTTCATACGGAATTTTAAAGACTTGTACGCCACTGGGACAAATATAAAGAATTTAAATACTCGTGACTACTAGGAATACTTTAGAAAACGCACTATATTCGTAATGGGTTTGATTTAGAATTTCTTTCACCGATCTATTTTGAATGAAATTACTATATACATTAAGCATTTAAACTATCACACATTTCAAGCATCTTGGCGTAACTTTTCACTTAAAGATGAAAAGGAATTGTTTAGTATCACAAAATTAAATGAAAAAAAAATTGAAATTAGTGAATAAATTATTTAGTTACGCTAGTGATATTAATTACTAATTAGTGATATTTATAATATATAAAAATTCGAAATTGTTATTGTTGTTTTAATAGTTTTGAAAAATTATTAAACTTATAATCGTTTAAATTGTACTTAATTAGTTTATAAGCGAAATATGTAAAAATTAATGTAAAAAGTTTAAATTATTCATAGGAATTTTTTATTCAATAATTAAAGAATTTAATTAATATAATTATTTATTGAAATTATTTTTCTAAGGGTATGTTTAATGTATATGTTTACTATTTGTAAATGTTTTAAATTATATATTTGAGGTAGGTTAGTATTATATTATTTATTACTAATTCTTTCATACATTCTTAGTATTATTGTTAAAATAATATAATTTTTTAGTAGTATATTTTACATTTCTATAAATAATTATTTTTCCGTATTCATCTTGAACAGACATAAGTTTTTATATACAAAAACTGCAAAACTGACAATTTTCCGAGACTTTTTTATATTTGTCACTGATTTTAAATCCTATGTCATAATTTTAAATTTTATTTATGTATACAAAACAAAATCTGTGTCACATAATTTTTATTCCGGACACCAAGGCCCACTATCAAATATCTACTACTAGTACGTGTTAGTATTCATGATTACATTGTCGCGTGCCATGTTCTTTACATAATCCATAACTGTCACACGGCACTCTAAGTAATGAAGCCTTTAAAGTTTTCTTATTAAAATGCAAAGTAAATATGTTTATTGTAAAAAGTATGCAATATTGTAAAATATAAGCTCCAATTCTTGCAATTGAGGCATTATATTCCTTTTACTACTGCTTTCGGGTACGATAGCATTATTTAGTGCCAGATATTTTAAAAATAAACGTTCCTTACTCCGCTCTTCTGCCTTTTATGGCGCTAAAGTTTTGTTGAATTTTAATATGGATTTGCCGAATTGCAGTTAATTAAATTTATTTTATATAGTATCGTAGCACAACAGCAATGAAAAACATTTATAGTATCAATTTCGAAACTAGATAGACTTTGTTAGTGATTCCAACAATTCAAATCAACTTTCATTCAGAGAAAGTTTTAATTGAAAAAATATTAACAAAACCCTTTATACCATGTGTTCTTCAAATTCTTGAATAACTTTTAAAGTATAGTTCCAACCAACAGTTAATGCATTATTCAGAAAACTCTATATTTTGATGCATAAGCTGTAAACATAATCTTAATTTAACAAGAACAGCAGCAGTAGATGCATTAATCGGAAAACTTTATTTTTTAATTCATAAGATGTACCCATATTCTTAATTTAACAAGAATATTTGCTAACGATAATAGGAATATTTTTAAATCAAATTTTTTTATATTTTTTTTTTAATTTTATTTTGATTTTTTATTGAATCTTCTAAAAATCAACTTAAAATTAACAATAAGTTTTCGCTGCTAATTGCTGTATTAAAATATTTGAAAAAAGAAAAATAGATAATTAATTGTCCTTATCCAAAGCTTCGTCCAATTTCGTTACCATGTCGGGCGTTTTTTTTTTCTTTCAAATCAAATGAAATCAATATATTTTCTTTTTAAAAATTAGTTTTATTATGGTTTCATTAACATTTCAATTATCATTGATCATTGATGATACAGCTTGGGTGTTCTCACAATGGTTGTCCATTTTTTAAATTATATTTAAACTGTCTTTTTACGGAATTTTCATATGAAAGTCTAAATTTATATTGAACTTCTATAACACATGTATGTATAATTCTGACTCGATGAGTTCAAATTTGGTAAAAATGTTTATCATTCGAAAACCCTGATATATTGTATCAGTAAAGCTTTCCTAATATTTGTTTTAGAAGATGTTACATCTACAGCATTGTTACAGCCACAGCATTGTTTTTAGCCAACAAGAATATATATATATATATATATATATATATATATATATCTTATATATATAATTCTTCTGTACGTGTGTTGACAGTGAACTTCTCCTAAACGGCTGAACCGATTTTGATAAAATTTTTTGTGTGTGTTCAAGTGGATTCAAGGAAGGTTTAGATTCACAATTTGGCCCACTGGATAATGTCTTTTTAATTAATTTTTTATTTTTTGGTATCCATATACATTTATATTAGAAATTTAAAATTTATCCATGCTTACTTTGATTTGTTTAAAAAGTTTAAAATCTCTAAAATGAATCGTAAAATTGCCGTTGCATAGCTTAAGTGCACTTAAATTCCGCAGTATAATTATAGGATAGCCAATTTTTAATCTTAAGTTATTTCAGCGAATTTAAAAATTCAACAGGATAGCTGAAAGATTCATTTTAGAGTTCAAACTTTTTAAACAAATCAAAGTAAGCATGAATAACTTTTAAAGGTCTAATATAAATGTATATGGATACCAAAAAACTGTATAATAATTAAAAAAACGTTATCCAGTGGACCAAATTATGAATCTAAACCATCCTTGAATTGACTTGAACACACACAAAAAAGAAGAATTATATATATAAAGATATAAATAACGTACAAAAAACAATGCCACGTCTTCGTGGACGAGGAGGAAATATTGGTCGACGGACTCGGAATTCACAATTACTCCAGAACCGTCGGGTAAATAGATCGGCAGAAAACAATGAAAATGTAAGAAACCAGGATACAATCACACGTGCTAATGAAAGTCAAGAGCAACACAACGAACGCCTTCCAGCTAATGCATTGATACAAAGACTGGCCCGTCAACGAGTCACCGACACATTCAGAACACGTGAAAAACAGCGTTTGCAAGTGTATCGCGCATTGACACGTGCATCATTTCATCGCCTTGCGTTTGAATATGAGTCGGATATCGACTATTCGTCACATTCACGAATTGTAATCGGTGCTATGAACAAACACTGTCATGCACTCAAATACAAAGGTGAATCGGCCGGTTTCTGCTGCGTATCTGGAAAAGTTGTATTGCCACCATTGAATTCGCCGCTAGAACCATTGAAAGCACTATTGGCTGGAGCTACATCTCAATCTAAATTGTTTTTTCGTAAAATTCGCAAATTCAATTCGTGCTTTCAAATGACATCATTTGGAACAACAAAAATCGTTCAGAATGAGATTGGTCGCAATTTTCAATCAACGCTTAAGATTCAGAGTCAAGTGTATCACCAAATTGGTTCTTTAATGCTGATGCCCAATAATGATCCCAAATTTCTGCAAATCTACTTCATGGGTGATGATAAGCAGCAAATAAACGCACGTTGCCAGTACAACCATATCGAGCAGATGGAGGAGCAAGAAATTGTGGGTATTTTAGAACCGTTTTTAAAAAATCATAACCAGTTGGTCCAGTTGTTCACTACCGTTTCAAACAGACTGCTAAACGACAACTATACAATCGTCATTAAAGTACCATCTGGGCAGCACGCGGGCCGATATAATGCACCGATTATTAATGAAGTTGCAGTTGTTATGGTTGGCGACGCATTTGAACGTCGAGATATACGAATACAACGCAGAGATAACACAGTGCATACGGTTGCAGACAGTCATCGCTCTTACGACGCTTTGCAATATCCATTGATATTTTTTTTTATTTAAAATGTAGTGCTTATAAGGATTTGAAGTAACATGAAAATATTTGTAACATAAGTAATGCATGTGGACTTTTTGTAGTTCAAAAGAAAAAATCAATTTAAAATAATTTTCGCATTAAAATGCTAAAGTTTAAGTTGAATAACAACAAATATTATAACTCAGCTGAGCCAGGAAAATTAATTGCAAGGGGAAACAACGTTCGCCGGGTCAGCTAGTATATATATATATAAACTATAAACTATAAAATAGTGGTAAGTTATACTAATTTTTCAAATATGTTACTATAATGACACTATAAAATAGTAGTAAGTTATACTAATTTTTCAAATACCTGCAGTTTATAAATGAGTAATATAACCACAATACAGTCTATATGACCACGGTATAGTTTATCTAAAATTAATGTTTTAATTATTTTAAATCAATTAGTTGACTATATATATTCTATAATGGCATTATAAAATAGTGGTAAGTAATATTTATTCTTCAAATACCTGCAGTTTATAAATGGGTAATATGACCACGATACAGTCTATCTAAAATTAATATTTTAATTATTTCAAATCAAATAATCAATATACAGAATCAAATTATTTAAAAAAGGTTGCATGTTTAAATAAATAATTTTATTTTTACATAATTTTATTTTTACATAATTTTAAAATTTTTTTCAACATGTCGGTAGTGCATTGCGTTAAAGACCTCTAAATCACCTAAGAATATCCAAAATGAACCAACTATTTAATTTAATTCAACAACCATTCAATACCACTGGAATTACTTTTTTGATGATTTCGTTAGTATTGGAAGTTCGTTAGAATGGTCATAATCGGTATAATCACATTTAAGGACAGACGTAATACATATTCCTTTATATTGTAATACAAGAGGTTTGGAGTCCTCACAAATTTCATATAATTCAGATTCAATTTATAACTTCGTATTGTTTTTGTGTAGTTTCTTTCTCTTTATTTTTACATATACTTAAACTAAAAAATATATAATATATTAAAAACAACTTTGACTTTCAAAACAGCTGTTAATTATAGAGTAAAATTTTAAAGCATTGTTCTTCAAATTAAACAATTATTTTAGACGTTAACACTTTACACACACTACGTATACGACAATATTAAACATCAGTTAGTAACAGAATAGCTGAAAAATAATACTTGAAGCAGTTTAAAAGAAACAAGAGGGCGTGGGAGTATCAGATTTGGGTTGAAAAGCGGAATAATCAGGGCAGGAAAATAAAGACAGGATATTTCTCTATTAAGCGGAACTTAACCTTATGTAAGTTGTGTTTGGGGTACACATAACCAATTAATTAGTAGATTTTTTGTTAACGCTCTGGAACTTTTATTGTAATATCGTTAGTCGAAATAGAGAAAAATATGGTTATATTCTTCTCTCGTTCTATAAACTGTAATGTTGTTGGCGGCTTCATATGCATACGATTTTTATTATAGTTTCAATTGCTAAATAATCACACTATCAAAAAACATCTGTCATCGTATATATATCGTATGTATTGAATCTTTGCAATGAAGAACTGACTCTTTAGCTTTTTCCAGTAAAAATTGAAAATTTTTTCCACCACCTTTATATTTGCAAATTTTGTCATCCTCCGTTCATTTACCTTATTTATAAAATTTTTAATAGGAAAACAAATAATATTGTTTGTAAAATTTTATCTGTCAATCTATTAAAAGAAACAATCTATATGTAAAAAATTTTTCTAGCTAATTAAAATTTTTTAAAACTAAAGTAAACTATTTTCCTTTGTTGTTGTTGTTGTTATTAATTTTATTATTGTTGTTGTTGTTTCTTGAGTTAGTGCTATTGCGCACTTTTGCTCTTTTGTGGCTGGAGGGCATATCCCTGTCCCACACTAAGCTTTAACTATACTGGAATTCATATTGTTAATTATCGTTTAACTGAGGAGGGTCCTGGGTGAACTTAAGCTTTGTTAGGGCTGGGTTGGAAGCGTATCAAGTTTTGTGGATAATTTTAGTGCTCAGTCCCTGACATATTTTTTCACTGAGTCGATCCTTAGATCTCTGTGCATGTCTGTTGTTCTAATATACCATGCAATCTTAAATAATCTTATAGCCAGGTTTTGTGCTATCTGTAATTGCTTTATGGGAGTATTAGAGGCTTACTGTATGTAACATATCCGTACAGTAGTGCTGGCCTAATTATTTGAGTATACAGTAATTTTCTATTTTTGAGATTAAAGTGACCTGACTATAATTTGTTTCACACTGAAATACTGAAACCTTATTTTAATCAAGTTTTCATATAAAACAATTTTGAATTTTAAAATTAAACTAAATAGTGAAAAAAAACGTATCTATAATTTTTTTTTTATGTTAAACTATTAACGAAAATCTGAAAAAGTATGCAGTTCTTATTTTGGGCTTTAGATAATTGGTAACTATTATATATTTTCCAAATTCAAAATTCCAAACTCCACTAATAATAATAATTCCGTCACTCCGCATACTTATAAAATGTCAAAAATGAGTTTGGAAGATTCCGATACCGGTAAATTGTTTACATATATCACTTCTTTTTTAATTATTGCGAGGTAGTAACAAATCGTTCTGATTATTATTTCACTTAGAAGGAGCATGTGCTAGTAATTTTAAAAAAAGTTCATCTGATAATATATTTCATACACAATCAACATACCTAAAACTCCCAAGTAGGGTTGATTTTAAATCAGAAAGTTCATCATCTGAATCTGATTTAGATGTTCGTAAAGCGTGCCGAAGGTTACCAGTTCTAACTACACCGAGCAACAAAACTCTTGAGTCCGAATCCAGTCATTCGAAATCAGGTAATAAAAAAATAATCCATATTTTACATTTAAAAATACGAATTTGTTAGACTTTGAAGATGACTATTTCCCTCCATATGAGCTTCGAGAAAGTGTTTGTAAAACAAATTCGATGCATATGGAGTTATATAGTACACCACCCGCACAAGTAGCAATCGTTATTAATCATTCTATATCTGAACGTATTGAAATTTTGAAAGCTGACAAATGTGAAGCGGCTATCTGTCAACTGCCTTGTGTTCAGTACAAATATAATAGAGGCGTTTTACAAGATACCGATAAGACACAAAGCACCTCACAGGAAAAACTACTTACAGCAATAAGTGAATCGTACAACACTGAGAATAGTGATAAGGTGAATCCATTCAATTCAAATCCAAAAAAGTTAATGGAACACTCACAACTAGAATTGAAACGGTTGCAAATTAAAAAAGAATTAAAACAGATAGAACTACTAGACGTGATGCTCACACGCGAAAAAGAAAGAAGTATACGTGATAATTACAGATTCGAGAAGGAAATGTTACTGCTCAAGACGGAAATAACTAAAACATTAAATAAGTCTGTGATTACAAATTCAACAAATACTTCTCAATAAGGTTAGTAATTCTAATCAGTTCTAATAGTTAAATTATTTTTGGTTTTCAGATTAACAAACTGAAGCAACAATATCGGACAACAAAAAAAAAGAATTTCTTAGACAAAACTCATCCTTGATAACATTTCAAGAAATTATATAAAAAGATCAATGCAAAAGTTAGAAAACAGTGAGAGGAAAAATCTGAACACCTTGAGTAATACCTACAAATACTTGAAGGAATGAGAAGCAGAAAACTTGCAAATTATGCACAGTGCCATCTGAAAGAAAGAAAATGAATAAAAAATTTCTAGTGATAATTGAGGAAATTATAAACAAAATACAAAAAATAGACGACATTATTACCTAAAAAGAAAAAAATATTTCATTAGTCAGATGGAATCTTGTTTCTAGAACATCCATACTAACAATTTAAGGAATTACCAACAAAGAAAGTAAGCAAATAGTGGAAATCGAGTAAAATATATCAACTAAATTTAAAAATATCAAAAATTTTTTTATCATAATAAGAAAAAGTAAAACTATATTACGATTAATATAAAAAATTGATAACAATTAAAATTAATATGCCATTGATTGCTTTTAAATGCTATTAAATACTCGTACAGATTGGCACATTTGAACTACAACTCTTTAGAACGCTTTATTATTTTTTGAATTGAAATAGAATTTTGTTGTACCAGCAAAAAACAAACCATTTAAAAACAATCACACTTTTATATGTCATATCGTATATGTGGTATGGCCGCGTTTAACGCAAAACCATATCTGGTATTCGACTAACAAAAGCTCCACAACTGCAGAGTCTTGATCCATTTACGGAGAAAGCGTCTCTTGAGTATATTAAAACTGCACCAATTTTTAATACTGACCTTGGTCTGCAAAATGGTTTATATCGTAAAGTATATTGTAAGCATAAAGAAGAATGGAACATTGGCTCTTAATCATTATTAGTTGATGTCTACTATGTGCCATAGCACAGAATTTCGTTGAAACGTAAACTCTTACAAATTGTTTGTTTACCCACGATTTCAGAACACCTTCAAAACTTTTTCGCAGTCAATATTCGGTACACAAATATCGATCATCTACCATTATGTGTACCCAAAAAAATATCACAGTGATGCTTGAATTCATGTAGAGGATACTGAGACACTAATCCCTCAGCATGTTTATAAACCATCAACAAAAAAAAGGTTTCATATCATTTACCTGTTGACACAGCAGACTATAATAAGCATCTGTTTTTTTTTTTTCAGTTATTGTATTAATCTTGAGGTCGAGATGGAGACTAACATTCCTGATATACCATAATGCATCTTAGAACTTTACTTCGAAAGATTTGAATAACTTGAATGCATTTTTTGCTGACGCAACTGCACATTTGCACACCATAATTCCTCAATTGATTCTTCATAACTCTTACCCAATCTTATGTTCTTGCTCTTTTTAGTTTTTTCATTATCATTTAGGATTCTATAAATGCTTCCGTGTTTTATGGATTTCAAAACATTTCAATCGCATACACTTTCTGTACGTAATCAAAGTTTTGTTCTTTGTTCATGCTTTGGAAACCCTTTCAAAGTCACGTCAAATGATTGACGTCCAAATTAAATGATTTATATGGAATGCGAAAGATTCCCACTTTTTTGTACAATGGCTAAAACTCTTAAACTGTGTAGGCGTATTAAAGTAACATCACTAGAAAATTCAACAGAAATAACGCATATGACGAAACATATAAAAGAGTAATTAAAAGTTAAATTTCAAATTCAGAACTAAGCACCTAGTATATATGTATGTAGTGTATTTTATATATATTGTATATATAGACAATACTCGTTCATATTAAATAATATTTGTTAAATGAAATAATATTAAATGAAAATATTGAATAAATAAATTAAGGGTATACACTCTGGAGCGATTTACTCGATACTGTTCCATAATTTTTATGTCAAAGGTGCATTATATTCTGGCCGATCACTCACTAAAAAAACCAATGAAATTCTGCAACTGGTAGAGCAAGACCATCACGCAAGTTGTCAAGAGATTGCAGGGGTACTAAACATCAACCAGGTAACTGTTTAGAATTTAATTTAAAAGAGCAGGCCATGCAAAGACACTCGATAACTCGATAATATCCAATAAAAGCGATTATGGTGAAAAGTCACTAACCCTCCACAAACGACTTCAAAGCCTAAGTAGACGCTAAACTATTCTTTTAATAAATTCTAATATATAAGCTATAAATTGTCATTCTTATAAGCAGCTTATAAAAGAAAACATGGTCATAACCGTTTAACCAATCCAATTGCTATCCTAAGTAAGAGTAGAGAATAGGAAATTGCTTACTTATGACGTTTTCGATTCGTAAATATGAATTCAATCTAGATTTACTCTCGTTCTGTCAAATTTTGTTGCTCAATCGAACATTTTTAGAGTAATCTAACATTTTTGTAGACATTTATAACTTTCATAAATACATAAATCGAATCAAATCACACTTTAACTGTCGAATCACATAAAACAGCTGTTAATTTCAAAGTAATCTTGCTGCACTAACATTTAGAGTGTTACGTATATATATATATATATATATATATTAATATATATATATCTTTACCATTTGAAAATAAAATTGCTCTAGAAGTGCTATAAGAGAGCATCTCGATTAAAAAAATTACGCCAGATTACCAATCGAAAACACCATTAGAATCATATTTAAAATTCTGAAATTAACATTTCCTTTACCCAAAAAAACTAAAATCTGAGATGATTTTCAACTAAGTGCATATTCTTTTTAAGAACTATATTCCAATTTTTAGAGATTTTTATTCACGAAATGTAAAGCAATCGAAAGTCAGTGTGGGACTTCAACCCATTAAAATCACCTCGATCCTTTCTAAGAACTAAGAACTATATTCCAATTTTTGGAGGTTATATTTGTTAATACAATATATATCTATATGTAAATACAATACACTTATTTATCTGCTGTTAATAATTAAGTATATTTAAGCCTCCATCCTACACAAATATGAAAACAGTTATAAGATGAAATATCTAGGTAAGTATGTAAAGCAAATTCCTTAAACTGTTTTATCTTGATACGTCTGATCCAACCACTCTATAGTGGTAACCTTTCAGGGTTTCTTTAATGCAAATAACATAAAGAAACCACTTCGCACAACTGTGATAATATTATTATATCATTTTCACCCTTACTATAAATTTGTAAGGCACTTACGTATTGCACTTACTTAAAATTCATGTCGTTATCCATTCAACAGATTTCCGCTGTGGCGGTCAGTAGTGGGAGGGCTTGTTAACCACTCATCATCAACGTCAAGTTATTTACTCAAGCGCAAACACCATAAAACGTAGTTAAATTGCATTTGTAATAAATTTTTAAAATACATACAGTGAAGTATGTATATACGCTAGAGTGTGTGCTTTGTATACAATTTCATAGTCGAACTTTTCATGAAACATTGACATACAATCTATCAACAGCAGAAGTTCAGATTTCAAAATGAATAGAATAGCAACGGCGTCGGCAACGGCAACAGCAACAGCTGAGAACTTTTTATTGCAATTTTGTAGCTTTTAAAGTGACGACACGTGTGTTTAAATTTTAAAAATAAAAAATGTATAAAATTGTTTACGAATAAGTTTGCGAGAGAAATGAAAAATAATATACATATATTATGTCATACATACACAATATTTACAATGCACAATATAACCTAATAGCACATAAATACTTGTACGTAAAGATAGTAGATACCGATATACATACATATGCAAGAGTAGTAGTATGAGATACATTTGCAATATGATGATACGTTGATTTGAGTGAATAAATCGGGTGGTCGATATATTGAATATATATATATATATATATATATTAATATATATATATATATATATATATATATATATATATATATACAGACATTTAGATAAATACATACATAAGTTTAGCAAATTTTTTTATTTATATTATTATATTTTAATTTTAGTTAAAATTAAACTTTTCAGCATTTTTAATGAATATTTAAATTTATTTTTTAAATAATTATTTTTCATATACCTTAAAGCTTAATAAGAGAAAGATATATTACTACTGAAAGCAACTTTAAATATATTCAGATTGAAATGATACACGTGTATGTTCTAATTTATTTGTGTGAAAATATAAACTTTTGCGAACAAGAAATTCTCTCTGAAAGCGTTAAGAACAATAAAATATAAAAAACAGACTACATAAATTACCAATATTAATTACTATAGACATAAAAATGGTATATTATCTACATATGGCAATAAGATACGTCCATAAAGATGATCTGTTACTGATAGAGGCTTATACCTGGCACATGTTTAGTATGTTTAGTATGTGACGGTTGAGGGGCTGCAGATCTAAAGAACTAGGAAAAGTAGGAAAAGTTGATAGAGTTCAAGTAGTACGCAAAATATGACGTCAAAGAAAAATATGGTTTAAAATATAATATATAATAATTTTAAAACCAAAGATAATTGAAAGAAAATTATATAATATATAATGATAAAATTCTCTTTAATTACTGTCAACAAAAAAGCAGTATTGGAGTAAAGTGGGATATAAAAATATATGCGCACACACACACACACATATATATATATATATATATTCTAATTATTACAAGTAAATGACTTTTTTATTATTAAGAAGAAAAAAATGTTGCTTTAATTCGAAATTTGAAATAAAATCTTGCAATGTAAATTAATTTTAATATATAAATAAATGTAATTTGATAAACAAAAAGTTAGATTTAGGAACTTCAATAAATTAGTATTATCTTTATGATGGGATATCGTGATGAAGTTTATTATATTAAAAACTATATTACAAAATATTTTCGAAATCGCTTAAATAAAGCAATTATTCCAGTTCTTTACCAAAAAAATAATTCCTGCCCTTTGTACTTGTTGTTTCTGCTTTCGAGAATAATCTCCGCTGAAATTCAGACGCTCAAATAGTAGCAAACACTTATTAAAGAATAAGAAATGTGTTTTTTTTTGCTAAGAAATGATATACACAAACATTACCAATGTAATAAAATATTACAGTTTTTTGAAGCAGTATTTCACACTGACGAATTCATTAATTGGTATTGATATCAAACCACAAACATCGATATGGGTAGCATCGTTTCGAAAGATTGGTATCGAACACCAAAGTACCCTGTATTAAATGAAAAATATCGATTTTGGTATCATTTTAATAGTTTCATTAACATTACTAGATACAAGGTGTAAAAAAAAGGCTAGATGAGACTAATCTGGCTTGTCGTAACCATGCATAGACCTATTGGTCTGTAGCGATATCAGATTGTACTTCTATGTAGATTTTACAGTAAGCATGTTTGCGAATTTAAAAAGTGCTTAAAGATCTATTCACAGCCTTCAAGCAATTCGCGTCATAGCCCTATTGTCAAACGTTAGTAGTTAGTTGATGATAGATACAACATTCTATTAGAATATTAAAATAAGAAAATGAAATTGACGTTATTTTACAAAATCTTCCAAAGTCCAGTCGATTAATTTACGTTCATGCGACAATTTAGTATCCGAAATTCGTTACTGCGCAATCGCATCAGTTTTAACATCCTTCGTCCCATGTATGGCTTTAAGCCAATATAGTTGTAACGTAGAAAAGGATATGTTGAAGATTATATAAACAAAATATATTTTTTTACACTAATTGCTCTGTTTCGCGTCTGAGATCACATCACATGATATATATTTTTGTGAGGAGCAGCAACGCTATAGAAGTTTAATAATATACTGCAAAAACACTACCAACAAAATATTTTTTAATACATTCTTCATTCAATAATGATAGGGCCAAAACCTTTCTGTGCTCTAGGCAAAGCAACAGTATCCATTCTTATGAACGGCGCTGAGGAAAAAGAAAGAGAGCTCTATTGCGAAAGGCTACCAAGACTATCACAGTCTAAAATGCTTTCAGGGATTTACAACCTAAAACGCTTCAAAGATCCCATAGAACAATTAAAAAATAACCTAAGAATTATTACGGAATTATTAACTGATCACTGTAGATTAAATAATCACCTAACGAACTTAGAAATTCAATTCCACTCAGACTGCCGATACTGTAGAGATGAGAGAGAGAAAGAGAGAAACTGCATACCATGTGCATAGGGCGTGCCCGACACTGATGCACAACCGGAAGAGAAACACTTTAATTCGTTTAAAGGGCACAATAGATCTTTCAGGTTATTTTTTTCACAATAATAATAGCAATAATAATCTGTTTTGCCACGGTAATCGGATTTAACATGCTATGCAATAGAAAACAAGAATAAAAATAAATCTATGTATATATGTATGTTTTTCAATAACGTTTATTTAGAATAATCTCTCTGATTGCTGAGAAATCACTCTCTCACTCTCTCTCTCTCTATCTCTATCTCTCTCTCTCTCTCTCTCTCTCTCTGATTATAGAAATAATACAGATATGTTAGATTTCAAGCCATTAATGATTAATATTCTATTATTCTAGTTTACTTTTATTAAAAACTGGATCAATTAAAAATTTATCTCAAAGTTGTTGTCAAAACAGGAATATTTCCATATAAAAGATGATAAGAAAATTTTAAATAGTAAATCTGTTTTTATAAATATAAAAATCCTGAGCTAAACATTTTCATAACTCCATAAAATAGAAAAAATTTTTAAATCAACATTTACGACTCAATTTAAAAAATTCTAGTCACAATGGATTTAAAAATTTGCTGTGCTTTCAGGGTTCTAATGTTACCGAGGTGGAAATGTAGAAAATTTCCACATTCATTGCAAAAGCTCTCACACTCCATTTTATTTTTATTTACACTCATATATACATATTTGTTTTTTTTGTTTTGTAAAGTAATCAACGTTTACACTTACAAATATTGAGTGACGAATGCATTCGTTTAGTGTGTAGTGTGTAGTGTGTAGAAAGAGGTTGACGCTAGCTGTAGAGGAGGGTGTAGAGAACACATGGCTGATTGTATGTGCATTGAATAGCCAGTTGTAAAGCTAAATTGACTTAAGAATTATTGCATTCGCATTTTAGTTGTGATAGTGTAAAGGTCGTGTGTTCGCTTCTTAATTAGTAAACAAAAATTTTAAAAAAATTAAAATATTTTTTATATATTTTTGCAAGTTTATTGGCAAATTAATTAAAATATGACCAGAGCTAATATCATTTGGTTTCGACACGGGCTACGTTTACACGATAATCCAGCTTTATTAGCCGCTATCGCTGATAAAAACGATGAAGTGGCTTTACTTCCCGTATTCATATTTGATGGAGAGAGCGCTGGTAAGTAAATGTACTCGTATGGTACATGGACCAGTTTTCTCTATTTATAACATTATTCTATATTTTAAAATTATAATTTTTAATTAAAATTTAATTATCAATAGGTACAAAATGTGTTGGCTACAATCGTATGCGTTTTTTATTAGACTCTTTACAAGATATAAATGAGCAATTGCAAGCGACTAGCGGTGGAATAGGTAGACTTTTTATCTTTCAGGGTAATCCAGTGAGCATTTTTCGCCGCTTAAACGATTTTGTCAATATACAGAAAATATGTTTTGAGCAAGATTGTGAGCCTATATGGAATGAACGTGATAATTCTGTAAAAGATATGTGTCAAGAGTTAAATATTGAGTGGGAAGAAAAGGTCTCTCATACACTTTGGGATCCACGCACTGTGATTGATACAAATGGTGGTATACCCCCTTTAACCTATCAGATGTTCTTGGTATGATAAATAAATAAAAATATTTATACACAATTTTTTTCTTATAATTATCACATATGCTTTTCCAGCACACTGTACAAATTATTGGACTACCACCTCGACCTGTTGAGGATCCAGATTGGCAGGGAGTTCCATTTCTCGAGTTACCTAATGAGCTAATGAATGAATTGCATTGTTTCCGTAAGGTAAAAATATGATGAAATGATATTTAAACAGAATAAATGATACATTATTCTGTTTTATGAATGGTTCTAATATTTTTATTTATTATGTTATTTATTACAACAAAAGTAATACACTTGTAACAGTACTATATGTTATATATTATAATTGACAGAAAGAGATGCTTTAAACATAAGATAATTTAGTAGGTCTAATTAGTTTGTGTAAAATCTAGTTGGTTTATATATAACAGACATAAAACTATATGTTTCTTTTTTTATACTGAGTTGAAACAAAAACTATGAACTTTTTTGAAAATGAGTGATACATCAACTTATGATTTTAACTTAATGACATTTTAAACCCATTGAAAACTGTATTTGTGCGAATAATATTAATTAAACGAATATTGTAGATATTTCTAATCCTAAAAATCAATTCAATAAGTCCACTATTTAATTTAAATATATATTATAAACTGTCTTTCTACTCCTTATACATATACACCAGACAAAAAAAATTATGTGTGTTAATTATGACGTAGATTATCAACAATCATTTGATAATCGTAAATAAATTAATAAATAACTTAAAATTCAATTAGATCAAAAATACTGTAACCTGTAGATGTAAAACTTAGATGTAAAATACTGTAAATTTAGACATTTTTTTGGGAGTGCGCTCTAGTAAAAAAGAAAGAAAAGGTCTCTATGTATAAAAAACATATAAGATTACACTGGTCAACAGAGATTTTGTCCTAGAGACGTTGTTGAGTGATCCTAACGTATTTTTCGTGCTGATTCCGAATTTGTTTTTAGATTCTTTCTATCACGTTTAGATTCTTTAGGACAATTGAATGTATGTATTTGCTATAACGAAAGTAATAATTTATTTCATTTATATATGATATATATAATATATATTATTTTCGTGAGTCCCTTCTGAGAGAGTGTTCTAAATTTTATTTTGACTGTCCGTTGTGTGACCAGGATAAAGGAGGTGCGCCTCATGTGATGTGCAGCATCTGTGTAAGGCTCACTGCTTGGACTGAGGAAAAACTTCATATGAAATTTGCCGTCCCCAAAATTTGGCGTGAAAATATGGATCATTTTTCTAACTGTTATTTTTGTTTAACAAAAATTAAAGGAATTACACCGAAATCAAAACACACAGTAAAATATCCAAACCTGCAATCAGCGATATGACCAATCGCTCACTCTGAATATTAACCATTACCGAAACCACCGGAAAATGTTAATCCTTGCGAAGATTCTCAAAGTAATGAAGAATGTGAGAATGAACGATGCCCAAACACAAAGGACCCTAATTTCGGACCCAGTACATCTGATGGTCCATATCTTATAACGCATGACGATTTGAACTTTCTAGTGTGCGATTTAAAATTGTCCAAAAAGAAGAGTGAAATCTTAGGGTCACGATTAAAGGATTAGAAGTTTTTGGATCCAAAAACGAAAATTTCTATGTATCGATCTCGCCATGACAAATTTAAGTTATTGTCAAGAAAACAACCTAATTTTTTGCAATGGTGTTCTTTCTCTTAATTTTATATACAACGATAATGATTGGCGTTTGTTCATTGATTTTTCCAAGGTCAGTTTAAAGGCTGTTCTCTTACATAATGAAATCCCCGCAATACCGTTAGCCCATGGAACTGACATGAAAGAAACTTAACAGAATATGCAGTTACTCTTAAAAAATATTCATTACGAAAGATATAAGTGGAAAATTTGTGGTGACTTAAAAGTTATTGCAATTTTACTAGGCTTACAACTTGGATACACGAAATATTGTTGCTTCATCTGTGAGTGGGATAGCAGAGATAGAAAATTAATATGTCTTTAAAACTTCACTTCCTTAACTCTCACCTGGACTTTTTTCCACCAAATCTTGGCGCCGTTAGTGATGAACATTGTGAGCGTTTTCACCAGGATATATTACACATGTAATAACGCTACCAAGGAAATTTCACCAACATGTTAGCAGATTACTGCTGGACATTAAAATGGGACTTGCCGGATGCTTAATATGCGAGAAAATACTAAGTACGTTCCATTTTTTAAATTCACGATTTCTTTGCTAAAACCTCCATACATCACCCGTTAATCCCGTTGTCTTAATAAAACTAGACGTGATAGAAAAAATCATTTCCAGATTTCCAGATTTGGAATCAGTACGAAAAATACCTCTAGTATCACCCAACAACATATCCGGGACAGAAAAAAAAATATTTTTTGTTGGCCTGTGTTATCATAATTTTTACCAACTATGTATTAAAACTATTGAAGTAACTAATGCAATACATTTAATTGTTATTTATTTTGTAATTGAAAGGAAACTGTTTAAAATCAAACAAAGAGTTATGTTTAAAGAGAATATCTCTATTCCTTTTTCAGACACCTGTACCTGAAGATTTTAATATTTATCCCGATAATGTGGGATACATGGGTAAGCATTTCAGAATATTTCTTTATATATATATGGTATAATATATAACCAGATAATGTATGCTATATAAATAATATTGTTTTCTATAAATCTTACAGTAAAAGTAAACTGGATTGGTGGTGAGAAACAAGCATTGGTACACTTAGAAGCGCGGTTAAAGGTTGAAGAAAATGCCTTCAAGTGTGGTTTTTATCTACCAAATCAAGCAAATCCCAATATTTTAGAATCGCCCAAATCGATGAGTGCACACTTACGTTTCGGGTGTTTATCTGTACGCAGATTTTATTGGGATGTACATGATCTCTTCAATAAAATACAACAACAAGCTTTAAATTCTGGCTATCATATGGCAGGTGGAGCACATATTACTGGTCAACTCATATGGCGTGAATATTTTTATACCATGTCTGTTAATAATCCCAATTATGATCGCATGGACGGCAATGAAATTTGTTTAAATATACCATGGGCACAAAAGTCCACCGAACAATTGCAACGTTGGGAAATGGGACAAACCGGTTTTCCAATAATTGATGCAGCAATGAGACAGTTATTAGCAGAAGGTTGGCTACATCACACTTTACGTAATACTGTAGCTACATTTTTAACACGTGGTGGACTTTGGCAAAACTGGGAACACGGTTTACAACATTTTCTAAAATATTTATTAGATGCTGATTGGTCAGTTTGTGCTGGTAATTGGATGTGGGTATCCTCATCAGCATTTGAACGCTTATTAGATTCATCTATGGTCACATGTCCTGTAGCTTTAGCTAAGCGTTTGGACCCTAATTGTGAATATATCAAGCAGTACGTGCCCGAGTTGCAGAATGTACCAAAAGAATATATGTAAGTTATTTTGAAAAATTTAAGTATTTTTTTTATTTAATTTATTATTTCATAATGCATATAAAGACATGAACCCTGGCGTATGCCAATGGAGCTACAAGAAAATGTCGAATGTGTCATTGGAGTACATTATCCGGAACGTATGATAGACTTATCATTAGCTTCAAAACGGAATATGTTGGCTATGAGAACTTTAAGAGATGCTTTAATTGCAGAAGGTGCACCAAATGATGGACCACCACATTGTCGTCCATCCAATGAGGAAGAAGTTCGGCAATTTTTCTGGTTAGCAGCTTAATACTTTGGGGCTTACTTAATGTACAATGTAATATTATTCCAAATATATATTAAATATAAATGAATAAATGTGAAATATATGTGTGTATAAAAATTATTTTCATTTTATAATATAGTAATATATTAATTTATTTCAAATATGTGTATAGATAAAAATAGTGGTACCCCGTCTCATGAAAGATAAACTTACTTAGGCTTCAAATAGCTCTTTTGTGATACCACAGTGACTGTATAAATTGCACTCTACCAATAATATGTTTAATGGCATATTGAATATACAACATTCTGGCGAGTACATGAAGTGACAGAGCAGATGAGTGACAATTTCCTGTTCTTCCTTTGAGCAACAGCTTCGATAAAAGTCATTGAAAGAAATATCTTTCCGATCGACATGCCAACCTGTTGCGTATAATGTTTTACAGTAAAAAGTAGTGAAAAGCAATCAGTGGGATTATATACGGGTCATATAATACTTAATATGTGTGTTCTTCATGTCATCTTTGCTTCACCATTTTAAAATGTTTGGTTCCAGACTTTAGTTATAGAGTTAAACTCGATAACTCCATAACTCGAAGCAACATTTTGAAAAGAAAAGTTTCGACCTATGGAGACTTCCTGTTAAACAATTAAACAATTAAACTCGATAACTCCATAACTCGAAGCAATATTTTGAAAAGAAAAGTTTCGACTTATGGAGACTTCGAGTTAAACAATTATGTATGTAATTTGCTTTTTTGGAGTGAACTACCTCTTAAAATTCGCTAATGATATGAACATTTTAAGTAATGTGTGCCTTTTAACTGCTTTTAGGGAGCCTAGTCTAGTAATGCTAAGAACCTGTCAGATCTACGCTTAGTGTAAGGCAACCTGTACTAACTACCCCACTGCCAGAAGTTTGTAAAAAAAAATACCAGAGAAACTTTTTATTTACAACTAAATATGTGTCAAAAATATAAAATTTCTATGAAATATAATAAAAACAAAAACTCTTTTTTGATGATGTTAATTGAAATATAAAAATAAAATGTAAAACGTCACCTAGTAACCATCCATCGTGTATGGATTTCAATTTCTAAAAATCTTAAATGAAATAACATTGTACTTAGTTTAATATATATATTTTATTAATACATATTTCTTCTCCTTTCATTTTTTTATATTTAATTTATTTTCAATAAATCATTTCAGATACATGTTTTAAAATATTTTTCTTTGTTTCTTTGTATTAATAATTTTAATTCATTAAATTAATTTTTTATATTATTTACTAAATTGTGTTATTATATATATACTTGCTTTATTAGTTAAAAATTATGCATAGTTTTTTTTTATTAAAGTTAATTGTATTTAAAGTGTATGAATATTAATTAATTATTAAATTGCAATTAATTACAAATAATTAGATATAATTAAATATAACTCGTAATTATTATATATAAAATGAACGCAAACTTTATTTTATTAATAAAATCTCTTTTTTTATTTATATTTATTTTTTCTTTTTGTTGCATTTATAACAATATTAAACCTACTTTAAAATTCATTGTTTCAAATTCAATTTTAAATTAAAATTATTTATTCTTTTAGTTATTAACTAAGAAACACTTTTTGTCTTTTTTTTTTATTAATTTTTAATTTTTAAACTAAATTCAAATCACACAAATTTTAATAACTCCACTCAAATTTTAAATTACTGAGTACTGAAATTAATAGACAACAGCATGTAATATACAACATTTTTCTTAAACTCATGTAATAAACAAATAAAAATATAAGTATATAAAAATTATTTAATTTATTTATTTTGTATGCAAATTAGTTTGGTTTATTTTATGCACGTGACCAGCGCGTTTGTAGTGTAATTGTTTTATTTATTTATCCATTTATTTTTATTATTGTAAAATTATATGTTTAAATTAAATTAAGTTTAAATGAAATAATTATTACAGCATTTAAAATATTTAGAAGCTTTCCAAAGCGAACCCTCGACATTTTAATGTTCATTAAAAATTTATAATTGCTATTAGTATTTTATTTAATTGAATTGATTGAAAATGAAAAATAAGTTAATAATTGAAGGAAATAAAGCATAGGAGATTTTGTTATTGTAATTCTAAACAAACATAACCTAAATTGGACTTAGAGAAACACTCTCATTTCACAAGGGGGATTTAATAGATCTTAGGGGTTACAGCGTAAGATCCCCAAGCATAATAATAATAATAATATAGTAAAACTCACTACAGGTGAACAACAGGCTTCCCTACTGGCAATACTGACTATACTATAATGACTATATTAGATAAGATAAAACTTCTTAGAAAAAAGTGTTGATGAACTAATTAGAAAACTTCTTGAAAAAAAAAAACGATCGGCTTTGTAGTAAGTTTAAAATATCAAGTCCATATACAAAATAGTTCAGAGATTTGAATTACATTTTGAAGGCTATTCAAAATGTATACAATATAAGGAATAAATATTATTTTACTTTGTAGAACTGAGTACTTTTCCAAAAAAATATTAAATGAACAGTAAAAGAATCTCCCTTTTGTACTATTTAAGTTTAAGATCAAAAGTTAAGATGTATCTTTTCAATTTATAAATATAGTTTTTAGATTTGAATTATATTTGGAAATCTAGTATACAAATATATATATACATAAGGAATGAACACTGATTTATTTTATTGAACTGAGTACTTTTCTAAACAGAAATTTATTAATCCGTAAGACAATTTCTCTATTGTACTATTTAAGTTTAATATTTAAATTTTAAATATATCTTATCAAATAATTTGATGTCATCAATTTTCGTGAAAAGAAAAAGTTTCATAGTCCATAATTTTTTTTCTCTAAAAATTATTGTTCTAAACCGTCATCTAAAAATATCTAAACATTGAAAGAAACACTAAAAATATCTCATTGATATATTATAAAAAATGTGAAGTAACATAGATATAGTTCCTTTGGTTTTAATTGAATTGTATTGATAATGATTACATATCTTTCTTCTCCAACCAGAGGAGCATAGCATCTCAAGACAAATTCTGAAAGGCATGTTGCCTTATATACATATTATAATCATTAGGACTAAGAAACTCTTGTCTAAATAGTGATATTCTGATATAAGGTGTAATATATATAAGTGCGAATAAACTAAATACACTTACACTTTTTTTTGAAACCTATTAAAGCTTACTAAATACATTTAAATCACCTAAGTAATAAGTGTTATTAGAATAAGAATGAGTAATATTATTAATATTAAATCGATAAAACTTGATAAAAGCTAAACAATCAAATATTAAATCGCAAATAATGATAAAGAGTTTTGCAATAAACTGAGCTAGAAATATACTGATAACTAAAACTTCCAATACATAACCATTTGAAAACAAAGATTGTAAACTGCAAATTTTTGACAGTGAATTGGAAGATTTGTGTCGAACTAAATTAGATCAAACTAGAGGCAATAGAAATTGAAAGTATTCTGTACATAAAATCTGCACATAAAATATGTGCGAGAATCTTTTCTGAATATTTTGTAAATTATCTTAATAATCAAAAATTATTAAGATGTTATTCTAATTGAAAAAAGTAAGATTTCTGGAATTTTACTGGATTAGATGTACTAGTAACAGGAAAGAAACATAATATAGCTTTTATGATATAATAAAATAATGGTGTCAAAGAAAGAAAAGAACATGTACTGATAATTGACAATAAGTCGTTTTAAAATATATTTGCTGAAAAATTATAAAATTGGGAATGATAACAGAAAAATATATATTTCCAGATAAACGTTTCAGAATATCAACAATATTAATAGGACTTACAACATAAAACGCTTCAAGGATTGCATAGAACAACAAAGAATAACCTAAAAATTACTATGGGATTACTAACCGGTCACTGTAGATTAAATAACCACCTAATAAAGTTTGAATCCAATCCAACTCAGACTTAAGATACTGTAGAGAAGAGAGGAAACCTGCATATCATAAGCTTGGGGAGTGCCCGGTACTGATACACAAGCAGTAGAAACATCTTGGAACGTATTTCATGAAATATAAGGATTCAAGACTAGAAAAGATAGGCCCTATACAGTCTTTCATTAATAAAATCGGACTTGGAGAAACATTTTAATCCAACTAAGGGGCGCAATAGATCTTTTAGGTCGCAGTGTACTATCCCTGTTTCATAATAATCAGCAATGTCAAATATCGTCACTCGATTATATATATCATATCCTTTTCTTAACTATTATCAAGTTAAACTTAAAACGAGTTAAATCAAAATATTAATTTAAAAATATACATTCGTATTAATAGGGAAGATAAATATATATATAATAATAATCTGACTTTCGATTTATTTTTAAAAATCACTAGTTTAAGTTAGTGAATATCCTTTTTAGAAACTATTGCTAAGCTTCAAAACTTTAAAAAAAATTTTAAGTATTTTGTAATATAAAAAAGGGCATTATAACAATTTATCAGGATTTTCACAAAATGAGAATACAGGTATTTATTAATTTTATAGTAGAATAAGTCAAAAAAGAAAGTATTGAATTCTAATTTTTTTCAAATTTCGCTAAAATTTGTACGTCACTATTACTTGTTAGCACTTAAGAATTAAAAAAATATACTCTTATATATTATTCAACATGATGTTATCAGTGCAACTAAGTTTATTGCTTTATATAAACTCTTTGTAATTAAATTACTTTAATAAGTAATATATAAGAAAAACATTAACAGATGTTTTACATTTGCAAATTTTTTAAAAATCAATACAACATCTGCTTTAATTTTAAAAGAACTAGACTACCTCAAAAACTATTTGAAAAAAGAAAGACAACTAGTTCATAAAAGAGTTTATTAAAAATAGCCAGACAAATCTTTATTAATTATTATTAGTTGATATATATCGCTGTAACAACCGACTTAATTATAAAATCAATACTAAAAACAAAATATATTTAAATGAAACGAACAAATAAATAAAATTTAAATTAAAAAACACGTATTCTAGAAAAATATCTGTCTCCAATCTAAATGTGTGTTTTTATATTTTATATATGTGTATTTCTATATAATAATCGTAGTGCCCGTTAATATGCCTAAAATGCTGCACTTGTATTTACTTACTATTAAATTATCACCATAATTAATGCATACTTTATACAAAAAAATAACATTAATCAGAAATAAAATGAATTAATTTGGAATATTTTATGCTTAAGCAACATTTATACATATGTATATATATATATATTTATTTATTTTTAAAACCAAAGGTAAATAGTTTCTAAAAATTTCTTTTATGTTTTACATATTTTTGTCTTTTTTTACTAATTCATATAAATAACTGGCATGACTAAATTTGCTTCTTTGTATATATGTAATAATAATACACTATTTATGTATATGCAATTACATTAAAAATAATTTTTATTTATACTTTTCATTTTTAAAATTTATATATATATATATATATTATAGAGAATAAAATTAAATAACACTTTTAAATTATCATTTTGTTGCATTATTATTTTGTTGTATCATTACTTTGTTTTCAGTTTATTTCTTATATTTATTTAATATAAACACATTGTAATATTCTTTGCTTAGTTCATACGTACATAATTCTATGTTATCATATTTTTAAACATAATAATTTCACTTTAACTATTGCAGCTTTTTTTATATCGTTTTATACATATGCATTAATTGTATATATTATATTTGTTTTTTTTTTCTTTAAATTGAATTTTGTTGTTTTTAACTAATCTAAAAATTCTTCAATAATTCAGTAAAACTATCAATTAATTAATTAATTTATTTATTTTTTATTGTAAATGTGGTGTTGACGTAAGTTAAAGTATTTGTTGTTTTTATGTTGTTATTATATTATAATTTGCTAATAAGTATTGAACCAAAAATGAGGAGAAGTGAATTTACATTGGTTTTAAGTTTCAACTCAATTAGATACTTGTGTAGTTGGTGTTTTTTGTTTTCTATATTTGCATAAATTTAATCACTGTCCGCTCGCATGCCTCTAACTTCACCAAATTGACGTTGTCGATCTAATTCTTCTTTGACTTCTTCCTCAATTGCTCGTATATCCTCCATTGTTAGACCGTGCCAGCGATCAATCCAACAGAATACTTGGCTAAAAGAAGAAACAAATTGTATATTAGTTTGATATTTCTGAATAATATCAATATAATACTTCAATATGGTAATTTCCGCTTTTATCTTTAAACGACGTTAATTTATTTTCAAATTAACTTGTAAACAGTAAACAAAAATAAACAGTACAGTATTGTAGTGTATTGCTCATATCCGAAACACATCAAACAATTTTAAGAGTTTGTGTTCACGAACACAATCACAAACAGTACACTAAAAATGAAAGCGACATATCCGAAACACTAAAATAGTGTCCTGAGATCTCTCCGACTTCTCTTTTAAAATTTTTATTGCTCGAAGGTAATGAATTTTCGATCTTTTCAGTAAGGTAGTGAATTTTTTAACAATATTTTCACTAAAGTAGTCAACTTTTTAGCAATCATTTTTCGAAGGTAGTGTGTTTTTAGTCATCTTTTAGTGTCCGTCGAAACTATTAAAAAATGTTTTTAATGTGCATTTAATGTACATTAAAATTTTACATTAAAATTTTAGAGCTTGTGTTCGCGAATTTTTAGTGTCCTCTTCGTTTAGAATTTTTTAATAATAACACAATACTGTACAATGCTTGTAAATACTGTTCTTTAAATAAAGTAAATGGAGTAAAAATGATCGCAGATCATTGCAATCCCTTTTTAAAAAAAAAAAAAATTTTTATATGCAGTAAATTTCAGTACATATGTATATAAAAGTAATCCTTTTATCTTTCTTATCGGATAATATTTTTACTTGTAAATCCCAAAAATCAATATTACGTTTTTGTTGTTGTAATTAGATATTAAGCTGCAGGCTATATAAAGGACTAACATTTTAGTGAAGCAAGAAGTGGTGCAGGGAGGAATGATAGGAACTCTAAAGATAATAAGAATGAAAATTTCTTTTCGCTTGAAAAAAGCTGGTAAAAAAGATAATTGAATCTACTCTAATTCAAAGTTCAGAAATTTTGCTAAACAGTAACACCAATTGCAGAAATCAATCAACAAATCAGTCCATAAATTGAAAAGTTGGATACCATACAGAGTATAACTGCAGCGAAAATGCACATCGGAAATGGAAATAAATAAATGCTGCCTTAGGAATACGTATATAATATTAAAGTCTTAACAAAATTTTCAATAGTATAAAATAATGCTTTAAAATGTTCGAATAGTATGATATTCAACCAGCTCTATTTAAAACAGCTTATCTACTAAATGCTTCATTTTTTTTAATAGAAATTTTTGAACATCATTTAATAGTCTGTTTTATGGTATATTTTATTTAAGTTTTGTTTTATATAAATACGTACAACTTGAAATACTCGAACACAAAATGGTATTTGAATATTGCAAGCACCGGCGAACATCAATGTTCGAAATTTTGAACACAACTTATATATCTGAACAATAATAACTTCTATATTTCAAGTTATACTCCATAAACAAAACCCGATGAAATGAATGTGTTTAAAATACTACATACGCTTTACTTTTAGATTAAATTGGATAAAAAAATAATAAATTAACCGTAGCTTCATATATTTGCTTACATTAATTTGACACTAAGTTATCAAGTTCTTCAATGTGATTCTGTTATTTGTGATATACAAAACTTTTTTTTTATATAGAAACTAATTTCTATATAAAAAACTTTTAAATAGTAATTGTTACAAAAATATGTTTATAATTAATTATTTAAATTTTATGTCTAACCATATGACTGTATATATACTGTAATAAAACTTATTGAGGATAAAAAAAAGCTTTATATAAATACGTACCGATGGAAGTTTGTAAATAATCGTCTTTCAGATTTTTGTATAAAATTCTCTATCCTCGATTGCAAACCAAACCATTTGAACTCACATGTTACTAACTTATAACATGTCATAACAGGATTTACTTTTATTGAGGATAAAAAAAAGCTTTATATAAATACGTACCGATGGAAGTTTGTAAATAATCGTCTTTCAGATTTTTGTATAAAATTCTCTATCCTCGATTGCAAACCAAACCATTTGAACTCACATGTTACTAACTTATAACATGTCATAACAGGATTTACTTTTTTCTTCCAATCTGCTCCTACCAGTGGACCACGACCTGTTTTCTCTGATTTAAACCTATTGTTAAAAAATATATAAATAAATAAATTAAAATAAGATTATGTTTTTAAAAAACCTACTTTGTTGGATCCTCATCTACTTTGTAATCTGCAGGAGTGACAGGATCGTTAGCAATATCAATCATTACAACTTCGCGTGCTTTAAGCTTCTCTGGTGGCAGTTCATGCACCTTAATTTCAAATTATTATATACATGAAAATCAATTGTATCAATTGTACCATTTTTTAAAAATAATATATTATATTAACTATTGTTGTGTTTTAACTATTTAACTAATGTTAAATCAAAGCAACTAAAAATTATATGAAGTAAGTGAAAAATGTTTGAAAGCAAAGCAACAAAGAATATTAATAATATATATTGTATAATGATATTAATATTATATTCGTATTATTGAAAATAATACATGTTATAAGATTAAAATCAATATACATAAGAGTTTAATGAATTTAAATTTCATACACAAATAGTACACAAGACAATGAAATAAACTCACATTAAGCTGGTCTCCATCATCAGCAATATGAAGCGATTCAATACAAATTATAAAATTTTCTTTCATATAACCAGGATTCTGTTAGTTTTAATAGTTCAACATACAACAGTTTAAAGACGCACACAATTTTAATTATTAATTATAGTAGATTTTTTACATTAGTTATGAATAAGCCATTGATGAAAAATTAATTTTTTTTTATTTTATTATTAAAAACCATATGAATCCAACACCATTTACGACGCAAAAATGATTGTTTAATAGGCATGTGAAAGATATAAAGAATAAAAAAGCGTATTAGTAAATTCTTAAAAACTTATAGACTCACATTTTCTTCTTCACCGCAATTACTCAAATGCAAAGAATCTATTATAACTTTAAAGTTATCTTTCATAAATTTAGGATTCTAAAAATTGGATAAAGGTTATTAAATATATAAAACAACAATATTTTAAATGAGGTTATCATATAGAATTCGTTATAGTTAGTCAATCTATTACTACTTTAATAAACCACAAAATTTTAAAATAGTTTGTGGTTTTTGAATGAAGAGATAATTATTAAAGAAGAAAGTATTTTATCGAAATATTGTATGAAAAAAACAAGTTTTATTCTATAAATTTGAACTCACAGCACCTACTCAATGTTAACTAGCCATCTGACCCAAAGCCGTACATGACTTGTATTGTTCTAACTTAGAATTTATTCCTAATTTGTTATGAAAATTCGTTAACAAATTCACTTGCTGTTTTAGATTAGAACCAAATCACTAATCAGCTATAGAATAATTTAATTAATTAATTATAATTTTAAGTTTCAGTAGTATTCCTTTTATATACGCATTATTTGTTACTTGTTTTTACATTGTTAAACTATAACTCAACTGTATCTAAACTAATCATCACAACTATTTCAGATTTATCAAAGAGCATTTTATGATAAATTATATCAATGTGTGCGAATACAAATTTTTTTTAATTTAGTTCCTATTTTTAAAAAACATATATATAGAAAATATGTACCTTATGCTTGAAATCAATGAAACTAATATAGTTTTGAAAATTCAAGAAAAATCTATATAGATCATTAGATAGAGTTCTCATTCAGTATATTAATACATATTAAATGACACAAGACACTTATAACACTTAGTATACTTTTAAATATTAATTCAAAATATCTGTAACTTTCTATCTAGGCTTACGTAGATACAACATCTATATACTATAGGCTTTATTAGAAACATTATATAGACCGTTGTCATATCACATATTTACATATTTATGCTAGGATACAATGTTTCATGGAATATAAATACTCATGTTTTCAATAACATTTTTGTAAATATGTTTTTTAGGATTTTATGTAAATCTATCTTCAGATTAAATTATGACTTCAAAATGGAAGGGCTCTACCGATATCATTATGTTACAGAAACGTATTTAACGTTTCATATATACTGTATGTAAATATAATTTGACTACGAAATAGATTAAAAAAAATTTAATTTTTAAAATTAAATTTAAATATTAAAATTAAAATTTATTATAATAGACTGTTCTGCTTTAAATATACCAAAATTAAGGAATACTGTTTACCTAACATAAATGATTTATTCATATTTTTCATTAATAATTACCGTAATAACTGTTCTACAATAAGGGTAAGCATTCCATGCCTCTTCGTGTATTTCTAGTGAACCTTTTGGTGCCAACAGTCTTATAAATGCTGGAACTTTTGATGCTAAATGATATATTTTATATGTATACTGTCCGGCATTGTATTTACCACCTAAAACAAACAATAAATAATAAAATTTAAAAAAATATACTATACAAAATTTTTCTTTGTAATAAAGAAATTACCTAAAAGAGGAAAATTTTCGAAAGGTTCATTTTTGAGAACTTCAATACCTTCGCCACCACCAGTTTCATTTTTGGATGCTTCAGCAACTGAATAAAGTTGGGCAACTTGATACTACATTAAGATTAAGATATTTAGATACTACATTTAAAATAATAATAACATATTAATTACAAACCTCCTCCACAGTTAAAGGTAAGGTAACTCGGCTGTAATGAAAAAGAAAAATTATTATTATTTAATAAGTTAATAATATATAATTTAGTTACAGTGTTTAATTCTAGTTCAATCAACACCTTAAAAACATTTTATAATTAAATATCTAATCAAATAAATCAAAATAATTTTATCAACTTTATGGTTATGACGAACACCTTTTGTGCTTACAAAGTAACAAGTTATTTAATAGTTTTAACCAACTTATGGTTGCCTTTGTTTGCAGACTACAGGCTTCATCACTATTGAACTGCACGAGGATAAAGCACACGCTTGATTGCAACTATCCTTTGTTCACAACAACAATAATTGAAACCTTGAAAATAATATAATTCATCGTAATAGTTTAATAGATGAGAGCTCACGTTGCAGGAACATAAAAACAGCTTCACTATGGCGAGGTTGGCTATATTGACAGTGTTATTAAGGCCCATAATAGCATATTGAGTGCAAAAGAAAACCTCTAACAACGCGTATTTAAATAAAGTAGAAAAAAGGTTAATTGAAAAATAATGAAAGAAATTGATTATTGCGAATGTATCCGGATGCTCTTTAGATCAATTAAAAAGCAAACGATTTTTACTATTTCTAGTATTGAATATTAATTAAAGTTTAAATGGAAAAATTATTTATAATGAAAACCAATTTAATTTCATTTTAAATGTTAATTAAAAATTTTGCAGTTTTTATTAAATTTATTTAAAATACATAATGTATATATACCCGTACGTATATTTAATAATAAATATTAATTATATACTTAAAAAAAAGTTTATAACAAAAAAATGCGAGTCTGGCATAGATGACGAAACAGAATTTAATAAATTAAAAATGTGTTACTTCAGAAAAGCATAAATTATGATAATTTTGTATATGTACTTATTATAAATAAATTCACTTATTATAAATAAAATACGAAATAATAACGACAACGTAACAGAGTGAAAGGTATTCAAAAAATAAATATAAGATATTATCCAGTATGTAAACTATCTAACGGGTTATCATGGGCTATATATATGATCATTTCATGATCATATACATGATTTTTTATTTTTGTAATTAATAACAACACATAAATTTACATATTTATTATGGGTACAAAGTGCTTACAAGACTGATCTCTTTAAATTAAAAAGCAATCAGACACATTTACTTAGATAAATATCTCATATAATATCATTCATTCATATTAACTGATAAAACTAATAATTAATTATCGAAACGTATTTTAATATATCTTCTAAATTATGTATTAAAACTAATCATAGTCCACTGGAAATATTATATTTCTTAAGATTTTACTGTTTATTTATTAGCTGGATATAGTTCACTTTTATTTCAATAAAATTAAAATTCCTTTATTGCTGTTTTATTAAAAAATTCTATATTTCGACTCTCTTTGAGAGTTATCATCAGGAGTATGGTCTAATAAAAAATAATTTCAATTAAAAATAATAACAATTACTAATATCACATTCCGTTATAGTTTTTCAGTTGTCTATTGTCCATATTGCATATTTATTAAAATATTCACCTTTTTTAATTTATTTAATATGTTCCAAATTCTTTTGCGAAAGGTGTGCTGAGAGTATCGATGTGATTTATGATTCAATAACTCCATAATAAACTATGAATTTAACTCTGCTATACACATACTTTCTATATAGTTTATATGGCATTAGTGGAAAATATTTCAATAATATATATACAGAACTTAAAACAAATTTTATATTGTCTTAAAAACCCTAATAGAAGCAAAACACTTTAAACATACTTATATGTATACTTTTTGAAGTTTAAAATATTTTATACCGCAATTTTACATTTTTATAAATAAAAAGAAAAATAAATAATAAAAAGAGCTAAGCAATGAAAGCATTTAAAGATTAAAAAGGTAAGGTAGTTTGTTTAAGGTATGTTTTAAAATTGAGCCTCACTCAATTTTTTCGATATTATATCATAATTTGCTGCTATTTTTGCTTCAGTTTATAGAATTTCCAATGGAGATAGTCTCTCTTGGATCATCATACTTTTCTAGTACGTCTTAAACAATTTTAACTTTGCTTCTTTCTTTTCGTCGAAGCTATACTGACTGGAACTGTGAACATGAATCTGATTACTATATAAACATTCGGGAATACTTCGAATATGGTTAATGCCATTATCAAACCAAATTGTTCAAAATATTTATTAAGTGCTTAGAATCCACAGTCGGTAAATTTTTGCGAGGCCCCTGCGGGCGCTAGGCCGTCAGCAGTCCCCGAAATCGCTGACGCCTAGCGACGCCACTCGTAAACATTAATCTATACTACAATACTACTTAAAAAGACACCACAGTTATTCTCAAATGTGATTGTTTTTCCATACTATTTCATCTTAACAAAGACTTAAAAATTTTGATATCAATGTTATTTTATTATAGATAATAGCATAATAAATTATTACGTATATGTAATCAAATCAAACTTACTGAGGTCATCTATATTTTTGATATACTATCAATTCCGCATACTAACTAAGGGTAAAATAAATTTAAGAAATATTTATAATAAATTAATTATTATTGACTATAAGTCTAGCTTAATACTTTTATAAAGCATAAATGGAGTCATTTATACTCAGTTGATAATTTAGGTAAGTAAGTTGCTGTAGAGACTTACTCAACATAAATAAAATTCAATTTAAAATTCATAATTAAACAAGTCAACCGCAAAATACGTTTAACAAAAATGAGTCACAAAGTTTTTGCATTTTTATAGCTTTTATTACAAGAGCACACGTGTCTAACTTCGTAATTCTGTTGAAATTTATTTTGAATTCCGGTAGAAAGAAAAAAAATTATCAATATTTAGTAACATATACAGACATTCATACCTACATCCTACAAGCATGAAGATACAAAAAGTAAATGTTAAAATATCTACGAGAATTTTATGTTAATATTGTAGTAAGAAACGTAGATACTCAAATATTTACTAGAAAAATATATTTCGATATAAACAAAACTAGTAAAAAATTAATTTTTTTTAAATAAAATGTAACTTTTCATATGCTTATTTTTTATATTTTTTATTTAAATAACAGTAAGCAGCTTTTTTGAAATCTCAATTTAAGGTACTTATTGAGTTGGGGGCGTTTTTTTTATTCACTTGATTTTAAGCTCTCATACTTTTGAAGCGGATAGTTCCTTCTATTACTTTTTATTTTTTTGTTTTACCAGGACTGATTAGTTGATTGGTGGCATTGGTTGAAGTTTCAAAAAATTTTCAGTATGTTTTATAATTTTAATACGAGAAATAAAAGAATGCGACTTATATAACGAAAGTTGTCAATCACATCAACTGCCTAAAATGGTTCGCTTACTTTCGTTCTGAAAATTTGAATATGAGAGATGATCTTGAATCTGATCGACTTATCGCTAACAAAATCAATGAATCAAAGATAAGAATCTATATAAGTTTTAAAAAAACCAAAATGTGAACACTATTTTGCTAAAAAGTTTAAGAAAGACTACAAAACAATCTCAAACCATTTCCATAAAACTGGTTATAAATAGCTTAATGTTTGGGTGCTATATTAATTAGGTGATCAAAGATTAATAAACTTAATATCCATAAGCAGTTTTCACCGTTAAAATAGAATATATTCAAATCATTTAATAAGTATAATAACAGAGGCAATGGAAACGGTACCACATACGATAATGTTGTACCTTTGCAAACGGTGGAAATTCTGATTGATAACAAAAAAGTGATGCTATATATTGCAAGAGACTACATATAGTCCATTATAAACTATTACTATTCGAATCACTACTTTTAGTTATTAAAATGATTGAAACAAGAAATATAAAGTCGAAATCGATTAAGATGAAAGTTGTTATGTTTCATTCTGACAACACTACTCCATTTTTAAGTATAGTATAGTACTTCCAATATAAAGATCATGGTTGGAATGCTTTGAAGAATCACATATTTTTGGAGTTCTATAAGAAAGACAATATCATTTTAGCCGAAAATTTAAAAAGGCAATTAACCATAATGCGCAATATTTGTTTTATTTATTACTCTTATAAGAATAAAACATAATAGCGGTATTCACAATATCGAGTAAAGAACTATATACTAAGAATATAAGAATATAAAACTCTAAAGTGCCAATAACAATAAAACCACACGAAATGTATTTTGCTGTTGGCATTTTGCAATATTACTATGTTATTCAGTTATCAAGCTCGTTACCCGGGATTGTGAATGAATACCACCACTCAAATAAATTTCAAAATTTAGCTTATTGAAACTAAGAGAAAAGCTATGAAAGATATAAAACTCGAAAGAAGTAAAAACGAAAGCAAAGAAAGAGTATATGAAGCAAAAAAAAGTGGAAATAATACAAAGTGGTACAAAGTATATGAAGAAAGTGTTGGAACAAACATATGGAACAAACAAAGATAGTGAAAGAATAAATTGTAGAGATAGTGAAGAGTAAAAAGTAGAGATAGGGAAAAATACAGAGCAATAAAAAATAGATTAAAACGGAAGCATAAACAACTCTGAAAAAACGAAGCAAAACAGACTCGAGAACGTAAACAGAAAAAAAACGGAAATAGAAATATAAAGTAGGTACGGAAGTAATGGTAAACAAAGATAGTTAAGAAGATAATAGTAAAATAAAATACAAGAAGCTATCTTTAACATAAACTTTAAATTTTACACTATTAGAATTTTATAAAAAATAATTAGCGGTACATAAAATTTTTCGTTTACAATTGTTTCCTCTTCCGTAATGGAAGAACTTGAAATAAGAAAATCATAACTAAGTTTTCTAAGCCTGGTTTTTATCATAATTAATTAAGAAAGCATTCTATTTTCTTTTCAAAGGTGGTTAGGAGAGTATGAAAATTATTTGATTTGAAGATTTTAATCTTTAATAATTGATGACTTTAATTTAAAAGGAGTTAAATATACATTAAGATGTATATTTGAATGTG